CCTGATTGCACTTCCCTGCCCAGCACGCTGCTACCCCTACAACCCCAACACTGATGCTGGGGATAGAGGGGACTGTGAGGACCAGATAAGTTATTGAATAAAAGCTTTAGTGTCCAAATCTGTCTCATCAGGTCTGAGGGTCATGTAAAGACACAAAAATAGAATACAGAGCGAAAGGATCTGTGACTTGATGGGCAGAGAAATGGAAAGCAAGGTGAGAGTCCTCTGGGACTGTAAGCTCTGTGCAGTAAGGGACCTGCCTGTTTTTTTTTTTTTATTATTTTTTAAATTTTTTTTTAAAGAGAGAGAGAGAGAGAGAGAGAGAGAGAGAATTTTAATACATATTTTTTAGTTATCAGCGGACACAGTATCTTTGTTTGTATGTGGCGCTGAGGATCGAACCTGGGCCGCACGCATGACAGGCGAGCGCGCTTCGGCTTGAGCCACATCCCCAGCCCCTGCCTGTCTTGTTTACCTCTGTAACCCAGCACCTTAAAAATCCCTGGTTGTAGGCACTCCATATTTATTTATTGGATGAATAAAGGTCTTGAATGATTACCACATCAGGGTTGGCATTCGTGTGTCCTATGGTCTTAGGTAAGTTGACTAGTAGACAATTAATAGCCGTATATTGAAAGGGACAAGGATATCTCCTCAGGCCAAGGAAAGTGATTTTGTCCCACTCTGAATTTACCTGGTATCTCAGATTGCTCCATGTGGGCTTCTCTCACTCACCACTGAGCTTGTCAGCCTCTCATCTTTTCCTAGAACAGAACTGAGAATGCGTCTGGGACTCAACAAACACTAATTAGCTCTGGTTGAATTGAGCTAAGTTTCCCTGGGTGATTCTTACAGTTTGTAATGAGTTATAAAGTTCTCCTCCTGTAGTTAAAAAATATTGCTTCCATGACCTTCTATATTTGTTCAAAAAAAATCCATTCACTGAGTAAAAAAGAATAAGAATTCTATGCTTGCAGCCAGATTCATAAGCTTGGTAATTATGACTGAATTATATTATAGTTCATCGCATCTTAGAATTTGGAGTGAATCTGTCGCCTCTTGAAGTTGATTTTCCACGACATGCTCCATCTTGCTTCCTTTCCTAAAAGAACATGCAAAGATGACTCCTAACAGCTTCGCAGGCAGCGAGTCATCAAGCTGTCGTGTGATTTCACGTTACCCTCCAGGTTGCCAAGATTAAATACAGATTTTTTCAAAAGTAATTCAGTGATTATTCCAAGAAGATAAGTTTTATCTAGATATAATCAGCTACTAATGTAACTTGTTTTTTTTTTCTTTGACATATAAAAATCAGGCAGAATCATTCCAAACATAATTTGTTGCCACCTCCTTGACAGAGGTTTAGATTTGATCTTGTAAAGTGAAAGATAGCTGACCTAATTACACTTGAGCCTGGATGTAAGGGTTTCTCAACCTTGGCATTACTGACATTTTGGCCCCGATAACTTTGTTACGAGGGCTGTCCTATCCTGTATGATGTTTAACAAATCCTTGGCCTCTACCCACTAGATGCTAGTAATACCTTCCATGCTCATCGTGGGAACCAAAAATGTCTCTTGACACTGCCAAAATTCTTCTGAGGACGGGCAAAATTGCCCTGGTTGAAAACTCCTGATCCTAAACATTATCAGGTCCATGGGGGTAGTAACTTACTTTCAAAAGGTTTAACTCTCCAGAAACTTTCCAGTTGCATCATATTAGGGTTACAGTAGATTGGGTAGCATTTTCCCCTGTTTTTTTTCTTTTAACCACTATATTTATATTTTGTGCTTTATTCCCTTTCTAATACTGGACCTGTATTAAATTGTGAGCTCCTTAAGCACAACTGTGCTTTTCCTTGTCTTCACAGAAGTAAGCATGGTGTTTTGTCTGCTGTAAGTACTTAACATGTGCTGACCAACCCCATAGAAAATTCAACTGGAAGAAATTCATGCCTGCATTCAATTAGCAGAATGTAAATACTATTAGGGGATATTTTTGTGTGCCTGCATATTTTATTCACTGCTGTATCCTCAGCACCTACCTAGAAAACTACCTGATATATAGGAGGTGCTCAATGAGTATTTGGTAAATGAATTAGATCATGTTATGAATCTGGAGTGTCCAACAAAGGCTCTTGTGTTGAAGGTTTGGCATGGACAACTAAGGTCTATTTCTTTAAGTAATCCAATAAGAGATAGCAAAACCTAGATGATATTTGGGAAGATTGTGCATCCCATACTCAGCCAACGAAGAACCAGTGAAAGGACCTTGTGTTCTAGGGGATGAAATGTTGATTATAACTGCTCTGGATTGTGCCTGCTCCCCCAGACACTCAATCTTGCAAGATTGTCATTCAAAAGTCTTTTTATTATAACTTGTGTTTCTGAGCTTATCTTTGGCTTTGGGCAGGTGAGTGTGTTTCTCAGGCTGGCTATCATGATCTGAGCTGCTTCCTTTGCTATGCCCTTCAGCCATGATGCTTTGCTTCACTTCACACCCAAAGCAATGAAGGTAGATAATCATGGACTGGAACCTCTGAAACTAGAGCCAAGATAAACTTTTCCTTCTTTCAGTTGTTTATGGCAAGTATTTTGGTCACAGTAATGAAAAAACATATTGCTTTCTAAAAATAATGTTTAATGAGTTTCCATTCCATTTCCTAAAGGATAATATTTAGAATCCTTGGCTGGGGTTCAAAGTTCTCTTTATTCTGCATTTTCCAATCTTCATCCTTGCTTCCTTGATACACAGTCCCACTTCTTTGACCCAAGCTTATCTACTGCTATTTACTCAAATGACCATGAATGTTTTTGTCAATGCACAAGAGCTAACTTCATTTTCACTGTTTAAATGTTCTTTCAAGCTCTTCATCAAGTCAAGTAAATACAATACACACTGCAAAGGTCAATTTACTTAATTTCTTTTAGGGAACATTTTCTGACACAAACCCACAAGGATCTTTCCTAATGTAAAATCTGACACTTTCTGATCTGCACCTCTCCATGTTTTAATTTTATAAGGTATGCCACCTTTCACTGTACTACAAACAAATATGCAAAATAAACAGAGTCCCTGTCTTTATGATGGCAGAGGAAAAAAAGTGGTATATAATGTGATAAGGACTACCTTGAGTCAGAAGACTTTGGTGAATCTTAACTCTGTTAAATAGGTATTGAACATACATGTTCCCAAAGTCTTAATGTTCGTATCTGAAAATTGGGAAAGAATGATTGCTCTTTCCATTGTTCATAAGAGTGAAAAATCAAACAACACTGCATTTAATGTGCAAACATTTCAAATGACACCAAATCACCATTTAATTTGTCCTCAATCCCTTTAATACTCCTTCAAGACAGGAAACCCAAATCTCCTCTCCTGATTAGAGGCTGGACTTGGTGACTTTCTTATAATGAACAAAATAAGACAAAAGTGATGGGAGACTAAGTCAAAGAAAGGCATCATAGCTTTTGTCTTAGTCACTCGGTTTCTTGAATTACTTGATCTTGGGGAAGTCAGCTGCCTTACAGGATATAGTCCTAGGGAGAGGCCCCTGTGGTGAAGACAACATGCTAAAGCAAAGCTTTAGCTCCATCAATTTCCTAAGATGACGGATGCCCCAGCAAACAGCTTGATGATACCTCAGAAAGGATCCCAATGTAGTTTTATCCAGCTAAACTACTCTTGGGTTCTTTTGGTACTGGGGATTGAATGCAGAGGCACTTAACCACTGAGCAACACCCTCAGCCCATTTTTTAATATTTTATTTAGAGACAGGGACTTTCTGAGTTGCTTAGGGCTTGGGTAAGTTGCTGAGGCTGGCTTCAAACACACAATCCTCCTGCCTCAGCCTCCCAAGCTGTGGGGATTACAGCGAGTGCCACAGCACCCAGCTACTTCTGGGTTCTTGAACTCCAGAAACCATGTGAGACATGTTTTATAATTTAGTAAGTGTTCAGGCAATTTTTCATGAAGCAATGGATAGTTATACAGGATACTGTAGAGATTTAAGGTATTATTAAATATGCTAATATGTGCTGAATGAAGAATGCCAAAATCTATCACAATTTATCACTAAATGATGAGCTGGAAAAGAGAAGATTCAAAAATTAAAAGGAAGGAGGAGAAGGGGGAAGAAAAAAATTAAAATTATAAAACAGTAAGAACAAGAAATAATCCTCTAGACCTAAAGCAGGCATCCCTCGCCTGCTATCTACTTCATTTTCTGAGTGGTTTCTTCCTCTCACAGTGACCGCTGGCTAGATGCAACAGGCTACTGGCTAAAGGAATTGTTCATTCCTACAGTCTGCTTTTATTTTGTCCATTTTCAGTTCTCATTTTCAGCTAAAATTGATAGTTTTAATTAAATAAGAAATGAAAGCCATATATCCTCTCTCTATAGAATACAACTTCTTCTTTTTTTGTGTGGGAGAAAGTCACCATGGTTCTTTGTTAAGCACAAGGGCCTTGGACATGGGAATTTATGATTTGTTTGCATCAATGCCAACCTTTGGGAGTCACTGTCATTCTTTTGCCATAGCAACACAGACCCAGTGGCCTATATCATTAATGACACCACAGATGGGACAGCTGAATCCATGGTCTTCACCAGTCAGCTTGGGAAATCAATTTGAACCCAAACAAATTTAAATTTAAAATGGGGCCACCATTTGTGACCGTTTTTTTTAAACTCCCCAATGAGAACACAGTTGTGGAGAAGGACTGTCAATTTATTAACCTGTTTAGCAATAAACACTGAATTTAAATTCTTCACTGAATATTTATTGGTCCGGGTTTTTTCAAAGACTCCAAGTGAAGGACTTTGCAAACTGTTAACTCTTCAAAACCTTGAGAACAGTACTTAACATGTTTGTCTAAAACGTCATAGCAGAAAAGGGCATAAATCATGCATTTTTACTGAATTCTTTTTTCTTTAACCATCTTCTTGATTAACTGTTTAATAGCTCATGGAAAGTAAAGCAGCATGAACACATTCTTACTGGTAGGAGATACACTGTTGGCTGGAGATGGCGGGGTGCTCAGGGGAGAGTCTGTGACACTGGGTGGAGGCTCCGTGGTTGGGGCATTCACAGAACCTGTAAGGATCAGACATTCAAAATGAACAAAATATTGTAACAGTTGCTAAGAATATTTTCCTTTATTTGTTAATTACCTAACAAGTCAATCTGAAGAGCGGGTTATGGGCAAGGCAGAGAGATGTGACAGGGAATAAGAAAGGCACAGGACTGTCCTTAAAGAGAGTACAGCCTAGAGAAGAGGTGGCCAACTCTGTGTTGAATGCCGTGACAGTGGTGACAGTGCAGGGACAACGTGCCATGGGAATGCAGTTCGGCGCACTGATCAAGAAAGAGAGGTCTGGGAAAGCTTCCTAGAGAAAGGGGACGTTCAACCAAGACATGAGAAAACAATTAATATTTTGAAATATTTTAATATTTCGTAAACCCAGAGTTTATAAAATCCATAGACTCACATTTTTTTAACCAGTAGTACAAATAATGATACTTAATTGGATGTAACATCAGTGAATTTAAGATGTATGGTATTATTTTTCTAAAATTATAGCTTTTGTCATAACATTTTTGGCTACAACTCTTTTTTCTCTCTCTCTCTCTGTGTGTGTATGTGTGTGTATAAATACAGGCTAGTATATGTTGTTTCACTTATATTTTACCTTCATTTAAATTCTTTCACCTTCCATTGTTCTTTAATATAATCCTACTTGAGGTATGAAACAATTTGAAAATGCTGGGAGGATCTGTTGACTTCAGGAACACATAGCTTAAAAGCAGCTAGATAAGTTTTGAGGCTGGAGTATTTTTGTTATTTTTCTAGGAACAATATCATTGATATACTGTCACACCTGATGAGTTATGCCAATTTTCTGGATATTTAGTTACATATTATACAATTGGTTCTATCCTGCAATTTGCTCTAAGGGTCAGTGTGTGTGTGTGTGTGTGTGTGTGTGTGTGTGTATTTATTTATTTATTTATATATATTTACATGTATCTATGTTTTGTTCTTATGATTCTTAGTGTTTTTATTACTGTAGGCTATGGGCAAGGTTCACAGTTGGCTCTGGCTGTTACAAGTAAGTTTATGCTATTAATCTGAGGAGGCAGCGTTACATGTAGAATGTATTAGGTTAACAAAATGAGCATACTGTTTCTCTATGCTATCCAAAATAAGTTGGAACTTTGAGCATGCCATCTTGGGTAAATTGCTGAGGCTGGTTTCAAACTTTTATCATAATTTGGCCCCTCGTTACACTACCAACATTATTTCCTGACATCAGCTTTTACCTATTCTCTCTTAAATCACACATGGTTTCCAACAGGCAAATATTTCAACCTAGTTTCTCCAACACAAGACCCTCTTTCTGGTCTTTGTTCATGGTGTTTCCTGACATTTTTCTTTTACTTCCAAACTTCCCTGAATGTACCTCCTCAAATTCTGGGAAGCCCTCATCACTCTGTTTCATTGGTATGCCCCTCAAGAGAAATAATTGTTTTGTTCCTCACTGTGTTTATGGATCCTGGCAAATGCAAATGATAATACATATGAATACATTCTTAACACTGGAAGACAAAAGACCAGTTTTAAGTTGTATCTGACTGCTGATAGACCGTAAGCATCATCTTCCAAAAATAATATCTTAATAAGATGGAACATGGGTCTGGAAAATAAATACCTCAATGATTTTCACTGTAGATTGGTTGGAGCAGAGGTTGGTAAACGATGCCCACAGTCAATTCCGCCACTGACTTTGTTTGTAAACAAAGTTTTATGGGAACACAGTGGTGTCCTTTGGTTTACATGTTGTCTACATCTGCTTCTGTGCTATGGTGACAGAGTTCAGTAGTCATGATGGAGACCACAAACCTAATGTATTTACTATCTGACAGAATGTTGGCTCCCTGAATGGAAAGTGTTGATAGGTTATGCCCAATCCCAGACTTCCACAATGGGAAACATTTATGTTTCATTGCTGGAAGATTTCTGTTTTAGGACACTATTCTGCTATATTTGATTACTAAGTCTTTGGAAATTGAAGGGTTCAGGCTCTCTCTACATTAGGAAGACATTAGTACAAGATTTGCATTTTGAGAAGAACTCTTTGCCCTGGGACAAAGATGGTGCATAGCTTTCAAGATGAAACCTGAGGCCAAAAAACTTCTCTCTGGTTTCAGATTGGACTGTGAAGTAGAATCTCTGCTATGGTCAAAACAAAAATTCAGGGGGTGAAAAGGGAATAATTACAATCTACCAGGGGAAGTGACTTTCCAAAACTCAAGTGCAGAATTTAGCAGAAACACCTCACCCAGCTTTCAGATCATCCCATTTATCACAGTACTGGTACTGAGCCGCTGGCCTAAAGCAACCTGATCTTTTCCTGAGTGGTCTACCCTGGAAAAGGCTGGGCATGGCTCTCAGAATCATTTTGTGGATGTCCCACAAGGGCAGATGGACTGATTCTGGGGCACTACTAGGTGGCTTATCTGGTCCAACTAGAAATTAATCAAACTCCAGGGCTTGCTAGATCCTTTTGCTCAAAATGTAGTCCATTTGACCGGTTGAATGGGCTTCTCTTAGGCTCTTGTTGGAAAAGTAGAATTTCACCTGCTACCCAGACCTACTAAATCAGAACCTGAATTTTAACAAGATCCCTGGTGATTTATACACATACTGAAATACTCTGTTGATACTCTCAGGACCCCAGGTTCAGTGTTGGGTATAAGGCTGGCTGCAAAATAGGGAGTCAGAAAACAAGAATATCTGGCAACTTCCATCTCGATAATCAGTGTTCCTCTCATCCCACTATGGAGCTATTCCTTTTAACTCCAAAACATCAATATTCCACATTCCAAAATACACATACACAGTTTTACACACACACACACACACACACACACACACACACACACAGTTGTCCACCCTCAACTCTCTATTTCAAAGGTCTTGATTTCAATAGTCACAGTTGGAAATCATTTAATAGACAAATCTCTATCAAAGTTTATGACAGCCAGGATATTAACAACCCCAGGAGGAATTTGTGCTTCACTTTTGAATTAAAACATTAAAACAAAACAAAATCTCTCCCCTTCACCTTGCCACCCCCCCAAAAAAAAACCTCTTTGTGTGTGTGTGTGTGTGTGTGGTACTAGGTATTAAAACCAGTATCTTCTGCATGCTAGGCAAACGCTCTACCATTAAGCCATAATCCTAGCCTTTTATAATTTTATTTTGAGACAGGGTCTCTCTAATTGCTGAAGCTGGCCTCAAACTTGATTCTCTTGTTTCAGCCTCCTAAGTACCTGGAATTATAGGTGTGTGCCACTGTACCTGGACCAATTGTATTAATATGAAAAAAAATAAAATAGACTACAGTGCTACAATTTTAGATATTCTGATAGGTGTCACGGCAGGATATCTTTGGAAAAGTTACTGTTAAATCATGGGAATTCTGCAGGTCTTGTGCACAAATAGTTACCTGAAGAGCCACTGATCGCTTCACCTGGACCCCTTCTCCTTTATGACTTCTCTAGAGTAAGCACCATTGAGCACTTGAACTTCCTGGGATACTGGGTGTGTGTGGGGAAGGGAGCACCTCCGCTTCCAACATTATGACCCTCTCTGAAATCAAAAGGGAGAAAAATTCCTTCCCTTCTCTCCCTAAATCCCTTTCTTCCTCTAATAGTCTCAGAATTTCTTTCCAGCACTGAGATGATAGATTTTTCTTCTGTGTTTTCATCTCGGTATCTTGTCAACAAAAATAGCTTGGTAAAGCAATGACTCTTGCAGAAGTCAATTGCAGAGTTCATAAAGCTTCCAGAGAGTATGTTTGGAAGTAAGTGATGGCACTGCTCTGCAGAGCCTCAAGTGCACCTTCTAACACTTTCAAAATGATTGTGTTACCATGGGACCAGAATGGGAGCTAGAATTTTGGGAAACTGAATTCTTCAAGGTTTATTGTCTTTAATATTTGATCATGGAGGCTGAAGATCCATTTGACAATTTAAAATTAACCTCCTGTTTAGAGTCTAGAATTACACTAGATTGATGGTTCCCTTATAAAATTAGAATTATGGCGTGTTTGGGGTTATCAGAATTAGTGTTCCTTCTTATTACCTTAAAAGTGTTCATAATTTTTGATCTTGAAATCAAGCACAGTTTTCACATTACAAAATATTGATTTTTGTTTTTCAAGCATAGGAATAGGTTTCTCTTTAGGAATTTGAGGTTTTACACTCTTTTAGTTCAAGTCCTTAGATGCTGCCAAAGCTACTGGCAAAGGTAAGTGACAAACAACTAACTTCATACTGTTCCAAAGCTGAAGCCATGTCCAGCCTTCTGGAAAAGAGGCATCCTTATTCCCAAGGGAGTTAGGAAGAGCCAAGAAAGGCTATGTTCATGTAAATCCCTCAAAACTTCTGAATGATTGACGAAAAGATCATTGACCACTTTGTTCATACTTATACCTATACACAGGGAGGGCTCTGGGGACTATGTTACCTTCCCAGCATCAGAGGATGCCTGCTTCTAGGTAGTGAGGATGGATTTCGTGGAGATGTACGTTATTCTTCATCCCAAGATCCCAGTAATAACCATTATATTCACAAAGGAACTTAGCAGGACCCGAGATACAAAACGTGTCCTTGAGACAAAGAAAAACCTTTTCCCTCATAAGTTATACTGTGTTTTTATGATTATGTCAGAGACTACATTATTTCTGAAAATAGGATAATGATTAAAAAGGTTCATTTTCCTACATAGTGGTAATAATGATTTGCAAATCTGTTTAGTTTTATAAGATTATTATTAAATACACATATCTTTCAGATGCCATTAGAAATGTTTTATAGGCATATCTATTGTCACTGCATTTGTTGAGACATTTGTTCTCATCTTTTATGTAGTAAAATATTCATTATTTGGTCTGGCTCAGAGTAGTAAATACTCTGGTTAGTTAAATTTTGTAATAACTAGAATGATGGTATATATCAATATTCAGCTCATAAAATCTTCTACATCCCAGATACTGTGCTTCAAACTAGGGCACTAAAATCATTAGGCTATAGTCCTTTTCCTAATGGTATTTATATTGCAAATATGGTTTACCCCTTTCTAAGTATTCAAATTATATATGCTGTAAACAATTGGATATTTTTTATGAGTTAGAAGAAATTTTAGGATCATTTTAATCTCTATTAATCCTCAGTATTTATATTAATCTTTGTTATGTGGCAAATAAACAAAAATGCTGCTGGTGGGACTGCAAATTGGTGCAGCCAATTTGGAAAGCAGTATGGAGATTTCTTGGAAAGCTGGGAATGGAACCACCATTTGACCCAGCTATTCCCTTTCCCGGTCTATTCCCTAAAGACCTAAAAAGAGCATGCTACAGGGACACTGCTACATTGATGTTCATAGCAACACAATTCACAATAGCAAGACTGTGGAACCAATCTAGATGCCCTTCAATAGACGAATGGATAAAAAAAATGTGGCATTTATACACAATGGAGTATTACTCTGCATTTAAAAATGACAAAATCATAGAATTTGCAGGGAAATGGATGGCATTAGAGCAGATTATGCTAAGTGAAGCTAGCCAATCCCTAAAAAACAAATGCCAAATGTCTTCTTTGATATAAGGAGAGTAACTAAGAACAGAGTAGGGATGAAGAGCATGAGAAGAAGATTAACATTAAACAGGGATGAGAGATGGGAGGGAAAGGGAGAGAGAAGGGAAATTGCATGGAAATGGAAGGAGACCCTCAGGGTTATACAAAAGTACATACAAGAGGAAGTGAGGGGAAAGGGAAAAAAATACAAGGGGGATAAATGAATGACAGTAGAGGGGGTAGAGAGAGAAGAGGGGAGGGGAGGGGAGGGGAGGGGGGATAGTAGAGGATAGGAAAGGCAGCAGAACACAACAGACACTAGTATGGCAATATGTAAATCAATGGATGTGTAACTGATGTGATTCTGCAATCTGTATATGGGGTAAAAATGGGAGTTCATAACCCACTTGAATCAAAGTGTGAAATATGATATATCAAGAACTATGTAATGTTTTGAACAGCCAACAATAAAAAATTAAAAAAAAAAAGAACTATGTAATGTTTTGAACAACCAACAATAAAAAATTTAAAAAAAGAGCTATGATTGATAGAATTTGAACAAAAATTACTGTATTCAACAGAAATTCCTTATGGAAACAGGAATCATCTACTTTCCTTTCATTTGAAGAAATTCTTGTAATATTATTTTCAAATTTTATTTGTGAAAATGTTTGATAATTTGAAAGTAAAGCATTAGGGAGAGGGTTTTCTGAGATCAAAGTATTATGGAAATGGTGAGTACTTTTTTTTGTTCTGATTAGACATGTTCTGAATTTTTGGCAGTCTTGTCCAGCCCTTACTGACTTTATTAAATAAACAACTCACCTAAGGAAAAAGTGATCTTTTCTGATGAAGTATTCCACATTTTATTTCCAGGGACTGGAGACAGAGCCATACACCAAATGGTCAGGTTACTTGATTGGGTTGGTTCACTACCATGCATCCTTGTTAAAATAGACTTGAGTTCCAGAAATCCATTTTTGCCTTTTCTCTCTTCATTGGTAATGTTTATTCCTACAAAATAGATTCAAACATGGTTATCACTAACATTTTTTTTGCATCAGCCATATAATGATACCAAGACATGGCCTTATCATTTGATGTTGTTTTTTGTTTGCTTTATTTTTTGAGATGGCATCTCACTATGTTGCCCAGGCTGACATCTAACTCCTTGGCTTAAGCAGTTCTCCCAGTTAGGCCTCCCAAGTAGCTAGGATTATATGCTTGAGCCACCACACCCACCTAATTTATGGTGATGCAGGGGCTTAATGTAGTCAAACTGTAGCTTCTATGAAGTGATGCTCAATTTCAGCAGCCCTGGAATTAACCTGAAGTGTTTGCTTGTGCTTCTACAAAGTGTTGATCTGATCTGCGGTCAAGGTATGAAATGCATTGATTAGTAGTGTTGCTTTGTTTGTGACTATGGGTCCAGGGTTTAGGGGCAGATTTTCCTAGCTCAGCAGCACTGTTTACTATAATGATGACATTGATGATTTTCACTTGGACTGGGTTAGACTCTGGGAGGGTTCTTTTGTAGAGTCTGGTTATGTAGCAAGAATATACCTACATGATGTGTAAAATTAAAAAAATAACTTCATCCACGACTCTACTTTGAGCTTCTTACTTCAGTGCTGTTCTACACCATTCTTTGGTGGTTCCTGCTCTGAGAAAGTGCTTCCAGCTGTGGCCCTTTCAGAGAAAGTACAGAGTAGGTCACATCTGAGTTCCAGGGACTCTTTGTAACTGTAGCAGATAACACATATTCTAATTGAGTTTCTATGTGTATCCTTTCCCTGAAATAAGCTGTAGATTTATAAGTATTTGCATTTTGCATCTTGCAAAGTCTTTAAAAATTGGATGCTGTTTGCCTCTATCAGTACAACTTCCAAACAGCACATATGGCCACAGGGAATTAATGTAAAATTGTCTATCACCATAGGTCAGATCTTTCTGGACTCTCACAGTATTTTTGAAATTTTTTTTTTATTTTAGGGGATACCAGGGATTGAACTCAGGGGCACTTAACCACTGAGCCACATCCACAACCCTTTTTTGTATTTTATTTAGAGACAGGGTCTCACTGAGTTGCTTAGTACCTGGATTTTGCTGAGGCTGGCTTTGAACTCACCATCCTCCTCCCTCAGCCTCCAGAGCTTCTGGGATTACAGGCCTGCACCACTGCACCCAGTTTTCACAGTTTCTTTACATTAAAACTTCTTAATGCTAGTTTTGCAGTTATTTCTTAACAAAGCAATAGTTAAATGCCATTGTGTACTGATAGAATTCTGACCACACCATTGAGCCTCCTGGTTCAGAGTAATGGGCACATCAAATCTGGGTGCTTTACCTATGCAGGGTTTATTTGATAGAACATATTTACAACAATCTTTAACAGATATTTTTAAGATTGCATCATATTATTGTTGTGGATGAATTGCCTAAAGCAAACTAATTAACACAACCAATAAACTATGCTAAGGGATCAATCTAATCATCCACATAAGCTTTTAATTTTAAAAGTTAAAAATAATCATGCAGCAAGAGTTTTGTGATTGAGTTATTGTTAAAAATATGTTAAGCTTAAAGGGAAAACGACCCAGAGGAAGGCCTGTTGTCCAGGCAGGGGATGTCTGAGATTGTTTTGACAGTGGCTGTCATGGTTACCACTTATGAAAAATACAGTTTTGTGCTGAGCTTGTCTCAGTGTGTGTTTCTGCCCCAGGAACTTTTAACCCTCCTGGTGAACATGTTCTTTGTTAAGGATCCAGTTCCTTTATATATACTTCCTCCAGAGTCCACAGCCCCAAACTTTGCCCCAGATCCTCACAAAATAAGTAGAAATTATTTAATTGATTTAAAGCAGTAGTGCTAAGTAAATTGAACATCTTGTATTGAAATAAGAAAGAAATGGAAGAACAGGTAGCAATGTTACAAAAGCCGAGAACTTATTAGTAATAACTACATGTTGAAGTAAGTGTTTTTGCCCTCATGTAAGACATTTGCTTTCACTAACACTTAAATAAAACAGTGCTTGTATGTGGTTTGATGGAGCCAATTGTGTTTCCTTCATTCTGGGAAATGTTACCTTCCACCCCATGGGAGAGTCAGATGCAGCATCAGAAAATGGCATCTGATGGGTAAGACAATGATTTTCCTTTAGTGAAAATTATTTTTAAATGCCAAGATAACTTGGGCAATGAAAATTTCTGATGTTTTATTTCTTTCTTTTTAAAACCCATTTCCATTGATTTCCTTCTTTACCTTCTTCTTCACCTTGAAGAAACCTTCCATCTATAAACCATGTGAGGCTTGCTTTGGGAAACACATTCTTTAGTGAGCAGGTAAATGTTTTCTAGGACAGACATAAAGAAGATTATTTGCAAATTCAGAAGAAATTGGTACTCCTTACACATTCACCAATGTTCACACAAGACAATTTGGCAAAACACGATTTTCTCTCTTTTTAACTGGGCAACCTATTTCTGAGATAGATTGTATTAAAATGTTTACTATATATATTGCTGTACTTTATTGCCTACAGAGATGTTATACATTTAGGGCTAGAACCCTAGGTCAATTTAAGAATCTAGGACTACACTAATGTTACCTGTCTAGTTTATGGGTTTTGGAAAAGGGAAATCATAACTTTGTGTAGGCAGAGTAATCTAGTACTAAATAAAAACTACAGAATAGAAGAAATAAAGGTATATCAGGCAAAGGCCAGAAAAGAAAATTGTTAGATTAAAATGGAGGAGAGATGCACACATTCTGTTTTCCAAACAATGTAAAAGATTATTTGTAGCAACAACTACAGAAACCATTAATATAATTATACTACTTTTGACTTGTAAAGAATTTTTCTAATTATTGTTATTTTTTACTTTTTGTCTTGATTCTTTGCCTTATTATTGCCATTTGAAAGATGGGAAAAATCAAGTCATCAAGAGGCTAAAGGAAGTGGAAAACAGTTAATGGGCACTATTGAAGAACTATGTCACCTCAATATCAGTCCAAGGTGTTTCCTGGTAAAACATGTCATATCCAAATAAGAAAAAAAGGGGAAGAACAGATAGTTATGTAACAAAAACATGGAACTTAGATGCTAGGTTAGTTGATTTTATTTTTGACACTGTTCTTTGTGGATAATACTTTTTCTATATCTCGGTGAAAATATTCAGTGATGTTTATTGAATCCCTATTGTTTTATCTGATTCCCTAAAAAATTATAATTCCATTTATAATTAAACTTGAAGGATATGGAAACAACAACCCCAGGGAGAAAAGGTGGACAGTGGGTCCCAGGGAGAGAAGGAAAATAATGAACTCTGAACTTTTACAATTTCCTGTTCTACAACTATTTTCCTGACTGCCCAACTGACACATTCTGCTATGATTAAGTCTCTAATGATTAAGTCACACTGCACATTCTACTATGATTAACTCTCACTAAACTCTATAAAAATGAGACCTCTACTATAACCAGTTGCCATTTTCTCCCCTGAAAATGTGCCATTCTGCTGCTTAATAAAGAAAGACTTGCTGATCCATAAAGGTCTGTCCCCATTTCGGTTATTTTTGCTTTCAAACCTGTTTGCTAAACAAGAGATGTGTATATTTTATATATGCCTGGCCCAGGTTCTTAGTGCCCAAATATTCACAATTGAAAAATATAATAGTTAACCAGTAAAGAACAATTAACTGCTGGGTGATGTTTGCTGTGCCACTCTATAAACTGGTGACTCCCAAAGAATTGGAAACTACAGAGCTGAGAAACTCTAATGAAGGGTGTTAGGGAACATTTTCCTGATGGGATTCCATTGAGGTGCAGCTTACCATCCCTCAGTACATCACTATCGAATCCCCAGGAAACAAGCAAACTTTCAAAGGGGGTTACGTATCACCTAGACGACAGTGTCTGGCAACTCATTCAACACGTGTTTTTTCAAGGCAATGGGGACAGTTATGTATGTGGCAGTTATGTAGAAAATATGAAATTTTATCTTCTAAAAAATAAAAAGTAAAACCAGATCTCTGAAAATACACTCATTATTAACTAAAGAGAATTCAGTTCATTTCATCCAATAAAATGCCAAAAATGGATTTTTATTTCCAGTTAGTCCGTAAAGGAGTAGAGAAACATAGGAAATGAAATTCTAAAAAAAAAAATGTTGTAAAGGTTTATATTAGGTTCAATGTGTTAACCATTCTCATGATTCATTTCTTCCATCTTCAGTTAACCCACAAAAAGATGATGATACAGTAATATCAGGAACAAGTGGGGGTTTCATTATTTTACAAAGGCAGTGGGCTCACTGAACAGATCTCTTATCAACTTCCAAAAACAGATGAAAAGATCTGACTCTTACAGGGGCTTGGGTTGTGGCTCAGTGGTAGAGCACTTGCCTTTCACATGTGAGGCACTGGATTTGATCCTCAGCACCACATACAAATAAATAAATGAAATAAAGATATTGTGTCCATCTACAACTAAAAAATTTTTTTTTGCTTTGATTCATGTTTCTGAAACTACTGAGATTTCAAATATTCTATATGACCTCCAGACTCTCTGTTCCAAGATTTGGTTTAGGTTCTTGTTCTAAAACTCTTCCTGATCTCTGAAACTGAAAAGTCAGAGACCAAAGTGGTTCAACAGAGGCCAAATGCCCTAGGAAATTTCAAATATATGTGTTTGTAGAGCAAGCAGAACTGTCTTTAGTAGGGAACTTCCATTTGTCTTCAACAAGTAAGAACATGCTAAATCTGAAAATATATGAAGTAAATATGCATAAGAATGTACATGCACACACATACTCATACACACATGTGTTCTGTGGCTGAGAAGTAAAAATCCCTTCACTAACTTATTATGTACCTATTGCATTGAGAGATGAGTCATATAATTTTTCAATGCATGATTCTAACTATATATGGAATAAGTGAGCACTAGTACAAAGAATTATGTAGCAAATTCCCACCAAGTATTTGGACAGTTATACAGGAGTACAGAAAAGAGTGAAATCTGTGAATTACTTAGAAAACAAAGTCACATTTTTGTGGACAGGGAAAGTATGGGCCTGGATTCTATTGGTGGTCTTTGTTGTAAAGTAGTGGGGAGTTCCCCCACATAGACAGGTAGAGTGGGTTCCCTAGTAGAACATCTTGAGGACCATATGTGAGTCAGGGATGTTGCCCCAGAAGCCAGGAGGAGCTGGTATATGATTAGAGGATGATGAGATTGAGATGCAAAAAAAAAAAAAAAACTGAGTTCACATCTGACTGTAAGATTGATCATTTCCATAGCCATGCTTGTAGTTCAAAGGGAAATTAGCTCCACCTCCTCCATGTTGTATTTAACCCCGGCTCTGTGGTCTTTCACTAGAAAACACCTCCACTTCCTTGAGTGTGCACCCCTCATTAATTATTTAAGGAATGTTTATTTAAAACTAATAATATAAAGTTGATTTAACTGAAACGTCCCTAAATTCTCTACCATCCTCCTCAAGACTGACCAGGCCAAGAAAGGAATAACTCAGATGTCTTCATGATTTGTAGGGTCATCATGAACTTGTGACTACTTGTAAAATCAACAGATTGCCAACCACCAGATTTTACAACTTCCCCTTCGAGGCTACCATCAATCACTTCCTACCTTAAATTACCCTTCTGAAGATGAAAGGAACCTGAAATGCAAGCTGAGTTAGGATGTCCTTTAGGACACCAGTTCACCATCTTCATGAATTGGCTGGTTTATGGAATCAACCTTCTTCCTTGCTCTGTTATGGTCTGATTTAAAAATGCTGATCTGAGTTAATCAATAATTAATGTTATAGATTATAGATTAAAAAACATAGATCAATAAAATAGGAAGTATAGCCATAGTGATTCCATCTTTATGGTTCCCATGTGAAACTATCATATTAACTGTTTCTGAGAAATGAAAATGAAAGCTGTCTTCTGCTGCAAGTTATTTTTCTGAACCGTGTACCCCACAAAATGTGCTCAACCCAGGATACGGTGGTCTTGTGGTATTCATGGCTTTGAAGTAGACTCTCACTCCTGCTAAACACCTGCTTGAACCCAGGATGTGATTGTTTGAGTTGTTTTGCTAACTGATTTTTCAGCTTCTGGAGTCTTCTTGCTTGCTACCTGGAAAATTCTATAAGATGTGGTTTTCTTCCTTAAATATTGGAACTACAGATAGCTTGGCACGCTTCTGTCAGAAGGCCATTTGGGCATGGCAGAAGTGTCCCTGGTAATATAATAGAGCTCCCTAATTTGTTTTAAATTTGTACTTTGAGTGTTTTCTGAGTGTCTTCATGCAACACAACAACTGGTTCTTGATTCACTAAGCATCTTTCAAGCAGTGAGTAAAAGGACTTGGATTTGTAACATTTCCTCATTTCCACAGATTAAATACTGTGACTATTTAAATTAACCCCATTTACCTTGCCAACGTTTGGACAGCACCTTTCCCAAAGATCTTTTCATCAGATCATTTTGAAAACATTTAGCTTTTTAATATACAAAGAGATTATTTTTGTCTCTTAAAGTTTTCCTATTTGTTTACCAATTCTTAATTTCAATTTGGAATCTTTCTTCCACCCCTTTTTCCCCACTGGAAATTTAACTTGTAGTCCTTACATGTTTTGGGCTATGCTTTTTCTATCTTTTTTTCTACAATGCAAATTTTATTTTATTTTTTTATGGACATCCTAAACATATTCCTATCTCCTCTTGGTAGATCTTCCTTCCCAAATTTAAAATAAATGTGTGTGTGTGTGTGTGTGTGTGTGTGTGTGTGTGTATGTATATATATACTTAAATGTGTATTTTTGCCTAAGTGGTGGTGACTATTCCTTTATTTCTGAGAGTAGAAGCCAGAAGCATTGTAGTTTTTCCAAGTCTAGTTACATAATACAATAAAAAACATTCCAAACTCTATTTCCCAACTTGCCATACTTCTTTGAATTTTAGGTGTTTTTTTTTTCACTTAATCTTCCCTGTTCAGCAGGTTCTTTAACTTTTCTACTGACTGCATTTATAACAGCCATAGGTGTCAAACCCAAAGTCAAAACTCATGATCTGAAAATTGGACAAAATATTTGGAATCACAGGTTCTTGAGATATGTGGGTTTTGGCCCAAATTTCACCCTCACTCTTTTGCCTTAAATCTATTTCTTTGCTTGAGAGGTCACATAATCTCCTCATGGGGAAATTGAACTAAAAGTTGTAGGTGCTTGACAATCTGTTTTGCTGCATGGCATTTGCTGGATACAGCTTTTGTGGTGGTGGAGGGGAGGAGAAAGGTTTGCCTTTGTGTCTAATTGCTGCAGAGAAATCTTATGAACAGAGACACACCCACTTGAAAACAGAACTCTCCTGGAAGTGGGAGGAAACCAGAATTGGAGGTGTCTTCCTCCTGGGGTTAAGAGCCAGCTAACAACCACCCAGGTGTTCTGGAACACATTCACTGGGCACCAGAGAGATCAGGAGCAAGTTCAGAGCCTTCCTGGTTTGTAAGTACCCACTGTGTCTTGGGGTGGGGGGGGATTTCCTAACTCTTCAGGGTTGTAAAGCTTGATGAAAAAAAACAAAAAATAAAAAAACCCTCTAATTTAAGAAATAACACATGAGAAAGAAATCAAACTGTTTTTTCAAAATGCAATATTATTGTTTTTAAAATGCAAGGTAATTTCCATGTATTTATTTATCTCTAAAATGTGGTAGATAAGCCAAGCATCTGGAGGAAGGTGCTTCAGGAAGGTTTTATTAGCTGTTGACTTGGAAGGTGATCATGGTAGGGAAAGGGGAGTATGGTGAGCTGCCTGCTGAGGAAAACCAGGCAACACCAGGTTTGTGAGGATGTGCCCCACCCTTTCTCTGTGTGCCAGCCCCTCTTGCTAAAAGCAGGGAGGCCTGCTGGTAAGATTTCTTAGAATCTCAGCCTCAGAGGAACCTCTCTAGGGACAACTGACCTCACACTGGGAACTTGATTATGCAGATCCTGGCAGGCCTTGCAGCATCTGGACTGCTTACTGAAACAGCTTAGAAAGGGAGTCTCTCTCTTTCATGATCATCTGTGTTTGCTTTTCCCTACCAAAGAAGAGCCAGTGAGGCCCCAGCCCTCGAAGTCCTGAACAGCCTGAATCCTGAGGCTATTCCTTCTCCAAAACACATTCTGTAACTAACAAGGAACACAGAAACAGCATGGAGAAGAATAAAGAGAAAAACTTAAAAATTTCAATATGCAAAAACGCCTGTTTTGATGGGTGATGTGGTGAACACTGAGTTCACTTAAAAGCATTATATTGGTTGGGCAGTGAATATCTTTGTTACCGGAAATAATATGTTTTGTCTTCCTGGCCTATTCAAGGAGGGATCAGCAAGTATTTGGGGCATGGAAGAAATGTACTCATAGACCCTTTTGCCTGAATCTGACTCAAATTTTCCAGTGAAGCAGAAAGGAGGAAATATCACATCCCCAGGTGTGCCTAGCCTTTGACCATTATTGTGAGTCCCCAAGAGTTACCCTAGTCCCTTCCCCAATACGCATTCCAGCTTATAGCTTGACTAAAGACGTTTTGTACATGTCTAGGCACATCTGAAGACAGTGGAAGGAGACACGATGAGTCGAGAAGAGGTGGAAGAGGAGGCAACCAGGATTCAGGTAAAAGGAGACTTGGAGATGAAGAAGGAGGAGGAGATCTGTGAGGCCGGAGAGCTTGGTCTGTTTGTGAGTATTGTGCCCACCCTGATACCCCACAACAAGGGGATCCGGATTTCTGAAGCATGGGAGTATTTCCACCTGGCCCCTGCTTGTGCTGCTCACCATCCCAACCAGTATGCCACCTGCCGCCTGTGTGGCAGGCAGGTGAGCTGTGGTCCTGGGGTTAGTGTGGGCACCACCGCTCTTTGGAAGCATCTGAAAAGCATGCACAGGGAGGAGCTGGAGAAGAGTGGCCACTGCCAGGCGGGGCAGCGCCAGGACCCACGGCCCCCAGGGCCCCAGCTCCCCGTGTGCATCGAGGGAGACTGGGGCAGGTTCCTGGAGCAGGCCAGCGCCCTGGCTTTGTGGGCCAGCCAGAGGGAAAAGGAGGTACTTAGGAGGGAGAGGGCTGTGGAGAGACGTGAGCACGCCTTGGAGGAGGTGGAAAGGGCGATCCTGGAGATGAAGCTGTTGTGGTATGACCTAATCAATATAAAACATAGACAAACAATTTAAAGATGTCTGTAGCATGATAATAAGTATGTGTAAAAACCTATAGGTTAACTATAGTCATAAAGAAGCATTAATATAGGTTAAGTTACAGGACAGAGATAGCTGCATAAGACAATTATAAGGTTAAGAACTGTTATAGGATTGCGTAAGTAAAGCATAACCGAAGTGACTCTATTTTACTGCTTCTGTAAAAAAAAAAAAGTAAAATACCGTTACAAGGACTGTTTCTGAGAAATAGAAATAAAAAAGCTGTCTTCTTGAAAAAGTTATTTTTCTGTACTTTGTACCCCACAAAATGTGCTCCCTGCAAGATATGGTGGTCTCAGTGATCTTTATGGCTTTGAAGTAGATTCTCGCCCCCTGCTCAAACCCAAGATGTGGTTGTCTGACTCTGCTCTGCTAACTGCTTTTTATCCAGCTCTGTAGTCTGCTTGCTTGCTACCAGGAAAATTCCATGAGATATAATCTTCCCCCTTAAATATTCAAGCCACAGGCCAGTTGGGTGCTATTCTCCCACAGAGGTTGAGTCTCTCAGGGGAATCAGTCCCTGGCTAGGTAATAAAGCTCTCTTTTGTTTGAATTCAGACTTTGAGTGGTTTCTGAGCATCTCCCTATAACACAGTGCAAGGTGAAGGCTGAGAAGGAGGCAGGCCAACGTGGAGAGAAGGACCTGCGATGGCTGCACATCCTTTCCATTTTCTTTAAATCGTGTTTAGGGGAATCTCTTTTGAAAATTCTGACTTCTCCATTTTAGTTCCAGCTCAAACATGAAGCGTGGTTTAGTGGCATTTCTGTTTTTAAGAAAAACAGTACATAGTGTGATTCATCTCAACAGGTCTGAGTGGACCAAATGCCTATCTATAGGGTTCCTAGTGTTTGCTGACCCTTGGCAAAAACCTCAAAATGTATTAACTAAAGATAAAAGTAGTTTTGCGACCATGTACTTGTGAGTTGTTTCAGGGCAGGATGTAGTAGACTGTCAGTATTGTTTAGTAAAAATAACTGGATTTATGCCCTGCACTTGTTTTCAGTGGAGCAAAGTTGGGACAGTTGAGGCTGGGCAGGGAGCTGGAAAGTCCACCTGAGCAGCTCACCTCAGAGACGGTAGGAGAGCAAAACCAGACTCCCTGGAAGGGGGCTGTTTGCACACAACCTGTTGGTGACTTTACAGCTGATTCTGTGTGATCCCCAGTGGAAGGACAAAGGCTCCAGCCCAAGCCCTCTGGACACTTGCAGTGCATCTCTTTCTCCAGTGGTTATGTGTTTTGCCATCTGCTTAGATTAAAGCTGCTTCATTAGTATTACCTGTCAGCTTCCTGTGAGTTTTTTCCCAACAATTTGACACTTCAACTAATTAATCTGTAATTAGCACAGAGAAAAGCAAACACTTTTCAATTCAATTGGTTGAAGCATAATAAAGAATATAAAAGTTTACTCACAAATATTTTTAAAAAATAATCTAAAGTCATATTAAGACCTATTAATGGAGGAGGGGTTACTGAAGAAGAGACAAAAGAACCTCAGAATGAAGATGGAGTAAGAAAGGAGACATAAAGAACAGCCATAAGAAAAGAAAAGGGACCCAGAAGAAATGTGAAGATGGGAAAGACAGACCTTACTGCATAAAGAGAAAAGAAATCACAATTGTCTCGTCCAGGGAAGGACAGAGAATATTTTCTTAAATCCTAAGGTCAATTTTAGTAAGTTGCTTTTGTTCTGTGCCCACAGATCAGTCATTCATTCAATAAGTAGGTTTTAGATTTTATTTGTATCTCTGAAATACTAACTACAGGGCAATCTATTGTTCTCTGATTTTTAAAATGACTATCCATCTTTGAATGTTCAGAGATACTTTTAAAAAAGGGAGCCTGACAGTCCATTGGGAGAGAAAAATCTCCTGCATTCTTAAGGATATTAAATGTTAACTGAATAAAATCAAACTGGAGACCACTCTGGGCTTTGTGCTGGAGTTGACTTTTGTTTTGGAAAATTCCTCTAGCACTTTTTCTTCTTTTTCTTTTAAATATGTGAGAGTGGATACTGAGAGAACCAGGGAAGACAAGACAAGATGAAAACAGGGTCCCACTATCTCACTGATACACCAACCTCCTTGAAAGCTAATGAGATGCTGGTATAAAACTGGACTCTTCTTCCTCCAGTCCTCACCTACAAGGCTCACTCTTCCTGCTTTCTAGACTTGTTGGGAGGCTAGCAGTGAGACCTGTCTCCCCTGTGAGCTCTTTGTGGAACAAACAGAAGTCCAAACACCAGCCTTGAGAAAAACCCAGGCTATACTGCAGTCCTACAATTCTCTTTCTAGAAAACTGCTGTGATTAAGGATTTCACTGTCCATGTACTTTCCCCATGAGGGCACAGTGCCCCTTTTAAGGCCCTCCTCTTCTGTGCTCAAAGTTTAGGTGCTCACCAAGGCAAATGGTGATGGCTTCTGGGAGTCATGACCCTGACATTTGAAGTCAGAGCATTTTTAGTGCCACAAAATATGCCCAACAAAAAGAGGCTGTCATACTTAATCTCTTAAAAACAAAATCCAAAATCATACATTTGGAATGAGATTTAAGAAAATCAAGGAATCTACAGGGGTTCAAGCTTTGCAAAACCAAATAAACACAAAATGCTACCATAGCTGGTCTGTTAATGTCTTCATCTAACCACAGCACAGTTTTTAAATTTGTGGTGTTGATAAGCAAGTGGCATGAGGTTAAGGGGATACCATATACTGGGTGCATTGTGTTGACCCCTACAAAAGCAATTTACCTGAAGCCCTACCCAGCTTAGGTCAATGGGCTCTGTTATATTCCTCAGCAAACAACCTGTTATCTGTAGGAGGAATGCAGCCCTGAAATGCTGATAAGAAGAACACAAGTTACCCTGTATGTGTGTGTAGGGAGGGGTGGTGGTGGCGCTTTTATGACCCTTACACAGAACAGATCCCAAAACTCAGGGAGATATGATAATTAGAACTGGTCAGCATGGTCCAAAGTGACCCTGAGTTGCCTTGGACCTTAATTGTGCACAGTGGAGACTTAAAAGTGTGCTGTCATCCTGCTATCAGTCAAAAGGACAATGGGTGAATCTAGGAAAATTCCTGAGGACCCAAAAAGACTGGAGGGCAAGAGGAGTGTGTCTTTCTTCTCTCTGAGAAGAGTCACTCTCTTCTTTGAGAGAGTCCTCTTTTCCCTTTTCTTATCCCTTCTGAAAAACTCATGTCTGCTACTCTGAATGACATGTCTGAAATCTTCCTGGCATGATCACAAGAACTAGTGAGAAAGGATCCCTGTGGCTGCCTCAGAATCTATTGTAGATTCTTTTCCTCTTTAGGCAACGTAACTTCACACTGTTTTTGTTTCCTATGTTTCATTTTAGATAGCTTTCTTTTAGATGTTTTCCCCTAAATTTTGTCAAGCAAAATAAATGTAGGGAGTGACAAGGACAGGACCTAGGGAGATGACTGGATTAGAGCATAAAGCAAGAGATGCATTGTGGTTTTGGAAAGCCTGAACTGTTAAATAAAGTGGGGTTTTATGTGTCTCTCTTGTGTCTTCTTATGCTCCATCAGCAGCTGTGTGCTGTGGGGCTCTTTGGCCCAGCATCTTTTGCTCTAATGCAAAAATCTGCTACATGGGGTTTGCGGGGGCTGAGGTTTGGGTAAGAGATTCCCTTCTCATTGCAGCTGCAGGAGCATAGCTGTGTGTTGTGTGGGAGTCCTGGTGAGAGAGTGGCCTCAGGAATGCACCAGGACAACCTGTCCTCAGGTGTGACACTTTCCTGGGATGTTGCTGGCATGTCCCTGTCTGAGAAAGTGTCTTTGTTAGGCTAATTTTGTGTCTTATTTATTTTAAAAGAAAAATTAAATTATTCATAAACTTTATAAGGTTAACTAAAACCACTGGAACTCAGCTCATAACTGATCAAATCCCCAGCCTAGTCCGAAACTGGTCAGCATGGTTCAAAATGACCTTGAAGTTTCCTAGATTCACCCCTTGTCCTTTTGACTGATAGCAGGATGACAGCATACTTTTAAGTCTCCACTGTGCACAAATGTTGCTTGAGCAATGAAGATGTAGGACAGACTACACATCTTCATGTGTGTGGATGTGATTAATTTCCAGAGAATGTAAAAGTTAGGAGATTACCAATACTGAATACTTTTGCTCTCCAGATGTAGATGCTTTGCATACGTTCTTTGGTTTGATCCTTCTATCACCCTTGTGAGGTTGGACTCATTGCCCCATTCACTGATGAGGAAGCTAAGGAACCCAGGTCTCAGGGACCCAAGTTAATAAGTAATAAAAGAGAATTCAGGCTTAGTTCTACCAGATCCCACAATCTATGTTCTGTTTTATTATTATTATTATCATCCCACACCATATCCTACATTCAGTCACATAATGGATTTATGAATCAATATTTACAAATGCAGAGGAAGGAATTGGTGAAAGTGTGGGTGAATGATAATAGGCAAAGACATATCCCTGAGACATCTATGTGCCATGTACTCCAGAACTGTGCATGAGTTTAATTATACTAAGAACCCTATGAAGTATTTCTTATTATTTCAATTTAGAGATTAGTAAGCTGAGGCTCATGGAGGTTATCTAGTAGGTGATTGAATTAGGACTTGACCTTAGTGCTATTTGACCCCAGGACATGATCTCCTCTTATCAGCCTCCCTAGAGGTGGACAGCTCTGCCCCTTATGAATGACTTAGCTAGATGTTAGGCTTTCCAGGCCCTAATTTCTCAACTGTGAAATGATAGATGCTCTACCTATATCAGAGCACATGGAAAGCATCACGAGATAAAAGTATGTGAAAGGGCTTTGAAGAGTTAATAAGTTATTAAGGACACAGCAGTGATTATAAGAATATTAGCGTGAGGAATTACTAATGTTTGGCAAGACCTTAAAAGAGCCACAGACAAGCCATGTCCTGCAGCTGGTTATACAGAGTTGGAGAGAGATTATTCACTAATTCCCCAGGAAAGAAATTTCTCTAGTTTTCCCAGATTTAAGTGAAGCAATGGTATAGAAGAGGAAATTTTATAACTTGTGGCCTGTAAGCCACAGTCATTTTTTTATAATGGATTCTTGGACCCAATTTATGGTTTTATATCTTGAGCTTATATTACCTGTAAACATTGACACCAAGAATCTATAACAGATCCTTATAAGAAAGATACCTACCAAAATCTGTAATCATTAGATTATTTGCTGTATTTAAACTATTGAAATGAAGTCCACTAATAAATTTGGGAATTAATTAGAGCAGAAAATGATTAAACCCTTTTCAATATACTCAGGATTACAGAAGAAGTTATTTCAGAGGTTAATACATGAAATTGGCGAGAGACTTAGATGCTTAGGTAATACATTATGTATGGTCATCCGAAAACATCCTACAGAGTCAGTTAGATTTGTATGTAGCTGTCAAATTAAATGACTGATATTCAGCAGGACCACAAATCATGTTATTTAATGTTCTCAGGATGAGAAGAAATTAGAATATCAGTAGAATTTTCTCTCACACCATGTAACAGCAGATGTTTGAGAATTAATAAGAGCACTTATTTTACCTGGGGATTTGAAAAGCATGGTTGAAATCATAAGGTCACAAGACAGCTACTTAAAGCAGATATTACTAATAACAGTGAAAACAACAATTTTTACTGAACGTTTATTATATGACACAAATTATACTAAGAATTTTTCACATTAATTTTATATTTTAATTTTATAATGTTCTTAAAAAATAATAGTGAGCAGATACCATTATGAGTTACTTCATATGAATGGTGAAACTGACTAAAAGATGTGAATTAATTTGATCAAGGATACAACCAATAGCTGGGAAGTGGGTCCAGATCCCAGTGACTGGAGACTGGGAGCTACCCAGTCTTTCCTTTTTCTCCTGCCCTTCTTATTTCTAAAGAAGTAGCTATGATTTGGAGGAGGTACAGGAGACACATTTCTTCTTGTGACTGAAATAAAAGCAGCGGGAAAGCTGGTACAGAAAAATGGATTGCAACAAATTAAATGTCAGCTGAGTGAAATTCTCACTCTTAAACCAGGGTCACACTGCTCCCTCCCCTCTCTTTTTTTCCTTTTTTGGTGGTGCTGGGGATTGAACCCAGGGCTTGTGCATGCGAGGTAAGTACTCTACCAACTGAGCAATATCTCCATCCCTCCCTCAGTTTTTATTAAGGAGAAGTTTAAACAATTGGGACAATTTTCCAGGAAATTTAAGGACTAAAGAAAAGAGGTCACACCTTCTGAGAGCCCCAACTCAAAGTAAGGATCCCCATTCAGTTTGCAGAATCAGCTCAGCTTCCCTTTGTGCCCATCAGCAGTTACTTGGTTAAGGGCCCAGGAGTAAGGTCCTCTGAGGGAACGTTCCTGGCAGCTGTGCAACCCAAACACCTTGGCATGTAATACTATAGATTTTCAAAGGCTTTAATGTGACTCACCTCTCCCAGGACATTCATGGTGCTGTTTTCCACAATCATGGGGATTTCTGGTTTAGCTTAAAAGCAAATAAAACACAGTTAGCGGCACTGAATGAAATCCTACCTGGCCACCAGTATGTGTATGTGTGTGTTGTGAGAAAGATTTGTCATCCATGAAACAATTATTAAACACCTACTGTGTGGCTGGCAAGATACTAGTGTCTAGGAAATAGACACATTATTTACATTTTTATGAAAAATATAGAAATTAGAATACACTGAGATAAGTGCAATGATTGAGAACATGTAGAACTTGAAGAAAACTTTTAAGAAAATCTTTTTTTTTTTTGGTGCTGGGAATTGAACCCAGGGCTTCGTGAATGTGAGGCAAGCATTCTTATCAACTGAGTTATATCCCCAGCTCCTAAGAAAAGCTTCTAACCCAGCCTTGGTGGTTAAGAGTTTTTTGGAAGATGCACCTTGTAACTGATACTTGAGTGATGATCAGTGTTGGATCACGTGAGACTGGGAATGTGCAGAAGTGGAAGCATAGCCAGTGGGGGAGAGAGAAGAATTCTACAAGTCCAAAGGCCAAGGGGTAAAGGGTAGAGTATCATTTTCAGGACCAAGAAGGGAGCCAGAAAAGCACTTGATACTTGTTTTGTTGCTTGGCACTAGGACATATCTGACATTAGTTAGTGATTCTTCTGTCCTGCTAGGTTGTAAGTGGCTCAAAGCCAGAGCATTTTATCTGTCTCTTCATCTCCAGTACTTTGCACCCAGCACAGAGTAAACACTTTTTTAACATCAGGTTTAACTGAAGTGACTTCAAGTAAGTTCTTCAGTCTAGCAGACAGAGCTTTCTGTGAACCTAAGATCCTAAGACCTGCTACCTCAGATGCTGTGGGCTTGGCTTTTACCTGCACACACTTGGCTCTTGCTGGTCACACCTATGACTCTCTGCCTAAGGATTCATTGGGATTGTGAGAGCACACTCAGTACAACAAAAGGGAAAATTGGAAGGAAGGAGTGAGTGGTGATAGCAGATGGGAAGTTGGTGGATAAATACCTCAATTTTCTTGCTCTCATGTGAGATAATCATTGTGTTCATGCTATTGCCCAGAGTTCCCAGTGAGACCTGGCCTACTAAATCCACAATGGTGACTGGCTGAATCATGCATCATGCACATTTTATTATTTTACTTTTCTTCCTAGACTCACTTCCCTATGCCTCCTATTTCCCAACATGACCTCTCAAATAAATTAATTTATTTCAAATCCTGTCTCCATGTTTTCTTTCATGGGAACCCACACCAAGACACACCCTTAAACTCTCTTGGAAGGGAAGATATTTCTGACCTCTTGCCAGCAGAGAAAAAACATGTAGAATGAATGGCCTGAAAAAGAACAATTACTAAAAGATGCAGGGGATTCTCTCTGAGGTGCAGGAAATGAAGTTTTCAGCTAAGAAGTGGGCAAGAGCCAACTTGTGATGATGGAAAGTGACTCCCGGCCAAGGGACTTCAAGCAAAGGGGGAAGGAAAGGAGTTGGCCAGCTTCTGGCCTTTGGTCTATTGAGAATGCAAAGTTGGAAGATGAGGCACCATTTGGGAAGAAGAAATGAGTAATTTAGGGCATGATGAATGGGTGGCGATACATTAAGTATTTATTTCAAGGTTTTCATGTTTTGTGTTTAGCTTATTCAATATGGGGAATCACCAAAGGATGGAGAGTAGGTTTTCAATAAGATTTATGATATAACTCTGGGCTTGGATTACTATAATACATATGCAAGGGATACCCACAAATAGATCAAAGGCTGGATAAGACTGTCCATACACAGCCTAGCCAGCCCACTTACTAAATGGAAATCCATTAAGCAGGAAAGATGCTCATATTTCTAAGCATCTCCTGACAGCAGTTCAAAGAAGAAGCAAGAGAAAAGTAGAGACAGAAAAAGTGGAACCAGATAGGGTGATAGAGTAAGATGTTAAGGAATGAAACTATTCAAGACCAACATGAAAGTATTTTAACGCAACAAAGAGATATAGTACATGGTTTAAATGTTGACAAGGTAATTCGAATATGTTATGGTACAAAAAAAAAAAATATTTGTTAAATGGGGACACAGCTTGCCTAACTTAAAATTGGTGTTCTTCTCACATCCTGGATGGCTGCCTTCATTGTCTTGCCAACAGTCAGGCCAGATGAGGCTGTTTTGTGTTTGTGCTAAAGCAGTCACACCCTGGTATGTGAACAAATAGTGAGAATGATAGATAAGAGAGATGAGCAGTTTGTTTCCAACTCTTCCCTGGGCACTGCTTAGGCTTCTTAAGGAGGCTGATCATGAGGTGGTAGCTGCCTAGCCCACCCAGGTGGAAACCTGGGGAGAGAGGGAAGGGAGCGGCAGGAGGAAAGAGAGGGAACTTCTTTAAGCCAGGAATTTAATCAGACTAAATAAGTCTTGGCTGCTGCTGCTCCCGTCTTTGCAGACTGTTTTGTGCTTTCTTCAAAAATGCTCTTTTATTTTTGATATCCCATAATAATATGGTAAGATTCTAAATAAAACCAAGTGTATGCAGAGAACTGAGCAATAGTCTAACAGTCAATGCCCTTCGGTTTTATAAACTCATTTTCTCTTTGTTTACTTCATGTTTGAAAACAACTAATTGTCCATCCACATCACTGCTTTTCTTGCTGTCTTTCTTTAAGAATGACTTTTTAAACAAACACAGGATTGGGGCTGGGGTTGTAGCTCAGTGGTAGAGTGCTTGCCTAGCCTGAGTGAGGCACTGGGTTGGATTGTCAGCACCACATATAAATAAATAAATAAATAAATAAATAAATAAACAAACAAACAAAGGTTATCAATGGATAACTAAAAAATATTTTTTAAAAAACCACAGGTCTTGATTACAAAACTGAAAAAAATATACAGAGCCAAGTGCCTCTGTTTTTTTTTTTTAATATTTCCTTGCAGCACAGGACAAATTAGAATGTTCACATTTTTCTGTTAAAACTGCACCCTGCAGAGTCTCTGCATTTTGAGTGAGGCCACAGTAGATTTCATAGCTCAACTGTCTTCTCCTGAGAACTCAGGGTCAGAGAGCTAAGCCTGAAGGATCATTTACTGGAAGCACTGACCCTGGCAGGATGGGGTGGGGAATGCTCCTGCTGAGTTTGTCCAGAGCTTTGTTTAGTACCTTCTTTTTCTCATGGTGGCCTTATATGCAGCAAGCAACTGGGATAATTAGACAACTAAGCAATTGGAGATGTCCAGTATCCTTAGGAAACATTAAGATGTTAAATCAGGTATTAATCAGCAGAAAACTGACCCATATATGGTTTTCTGTATTTTATTCTATTCACTGAATACTTATTTTTTAGCCTTCTTACCCTTGTTCCCACCCCCAGCAAGAATGGTAAAGATCAAGGCAAACAGAGCTTCAGAGGTCACCCCTGGAATGGCTGCAATCCAACATAAGAGGGAACTTCCTATTTAGGGGAAGAGTGATGCAGGGTGGCAGCAAGTAGTCCAGACAGCACAAACCCTTACCAAAAACCTTGACTGTGGTGGAACTCCTCAAGATTTTGCCAGGCCTGAGTCGAACTTGGCAAGAGAACTTCTGACCATCGTCATGGATTTGGACCGGGGAGAGGCAGAGTCTGTGGTCAGCACAGAGCTTCACTCTGTCTTTAAAAGACGTGGAACTGCTGATGTGGTGATCTTGGATGAGAGTTTCCTGAGCTCCATTACCTTCCTGGTGAGAAAAAAGATTACCAGTTATTGTGTTGGCTCCAAATTAGGGGTTTCACAAGAATTAATTAATTTATTTGCTGTAAAATAGATAGGAAAAAATGAAGAATTAAAAATGTCAGGTATTTAATAGGTTATAAGAGAAAATACTATTACACTTAACTTTCAATTGAAACTACTGTCGCCCTCTCCTAACGTGAATTGAGACTGCTTTTCTAGTGAGAACTTCCCCTTCACAACCTTCCATAAACTGCACAGATTTGAGGAGGTAAAAAGAGGGAGCTCATAACAGATTCTAATTCTTATATATGAAGCTTGGAAATATTAATGCAAAAATGTGCTGTGATGACTCTTATCAATTTTGCTTATTAAGTCAAACATGAATTGGGTGATTACAATCACCCTCTCTTTCCAAAGTTCCTTTAGGAAAGGCATCATTTAACTTAGATCCAGGACTAGAACCAGGAAAAGAGAAAAAACAGGGCACAGAATTAAGGAGGAACTCACTTGCAAGACCCTGAGACCAGGACCAGTGAGGGGTACCTCCTTAAATTCATTCTTTAGCCACTCTTCACTTATTTTCCTCATCCCAGTCATGGTCCTAGTCCAGTTGCCCTTATTTCTCTACTTGTGCTAGCTTTGAAGAGGATACAGGAAGAGCGGTTATATAGATAGGAGAGGTCAGAGTCTTTTTGGAGTACTTGATTCCTCTATTCCATATCCTGTCTTGGATCTGTGAAGAAAAACTCCCATTACGGTTTCCCTACACAGAATTTCTTTGAACAAGCTTCCAGGGGGTATCACAGGTTTGGCCAATGTCAGTAAATGGGCCTACTAATTGTCCTATCTCTTGAGGGGAACAAGGAGAGAGGAAGGATTAAGTGCTCAGACCTCATTAGTGTAATTCAGCCTCCTCAAGCAGCTTTGAAATCTCTGAAGCACAAGCTCCTTCTCTAGAGATTCTAATTCAATTTGCATGGTTTCAGGCTGGGGCATATTTTTAGGATGCTCAGGGGAGTTGGGGCTGAGAACCACTGGCCTAACTCTAAACAACACATGAATCCTAGTTAACAGGGGAAATGGAAGGAGGAAAAATGGAGAGAGGTCAATAGGAATGCATTTGATGGGGAAATGCTGCAAAGATCTCTGACTTGGAACCTCTAGTTTAAAAATGATATAGAAACTGGGTGTGGTGGTCTGTGCCTGTAGTTCCAGCTACTTGTAAGTCTGAGGCAGGAGGGTCACCTGAGCAAAAGAGGCCCTGTTTCAGATTTTTAAAAAAGGAGGGAGGGAGGGAGGGAGAGAGAGAGAGAGAGAGAGAGAGAGAGAGAGGGAGAGAGAGAGAGAGAGAGAGAGAGAGAGAGAGAGAGAGAGAGAAGAAATAATGTAAGCCAAATGAGCGAGTAAATTAAAGAATGGGCAGACATCTTAGTTTTTATGTGGGTCCAGAATATATCTAGTAGAACCTCTTATATAAGACAGTTCTTTAGCTGAATTTGGCTAGGGTCTTTATCAACCTTGCATTGCCTGCAAAGACTCACACCCTGCTAAAGCCCACCCCTAAAGCAAATGCTCATACCTTTGGATCTACATAAAGAAGGTCCTACAAGACTGTGCTGCTGTCTTTCTAATGAAGAAAGCCACCAGAAGATCAAAGGGAGCAAGAGTGTAGCCCTGCCAACAAAGGAGAACAAAGGTATTTCCTTCCGCATGACTGATCTGGAGCCAATAGTTAAGGAAGCCGGCTCCCTCTGCAGGCCTTCAGTTTGAGACATGTTTTTACAACCTGTCTATGCATAGGACCAGTTTTGTAAGGATTTTAGTTTAAAATGTTCTTGGTTATTTAATATATGACTTGTCATTTGAAACATTTCTGTCTGTCACTTTGTTGGAGGAAGAAGGGTTGTGACAGGCTGAGGTTGAAGACCGGTGAGAGAAACTACTTTTGCCTTTATTATGTAGCAGGGTGTTTATTATGTCCCAGTGATTTAATTTATAGAGAAGATATGAAAAGTAAATAAAACCCAACATATCCAAAGGTTTTGTTTCCTATTGTTCCCCCCCCCCCCCCCGCCCCCACCCGGGAAGCTGACTGTTGCAGAGAAAGAATTTGTTCCTTCACTGGAAAAGATGGAGTTCAGTTGCAAAGAGCATTCTGTAACCTACAACATAAGGAAATCCTGAGAGATTCTAAAATTTTTAGATATAAAGGGACCATGGCAAGAACCTGCATGTGAGTGGCCACCTTCACATAGTGAATAGGAAGAGGAGTGGAAAAAAATACTGAGGCAAATAATGAAATGCATAAAGCTGGGAAACAAAGAAATAATACTACTATGCTATGACCACTGCTAAAATTTTATATTCTCATTAGTTAGAGCTTGAATTTATTTAGTACTTACTGTGTCTAGGCACCATGCAAAGCTTTTCCCTAATTTTATTTGTACTTTTTAAATAACCTGGAATAAATTGAGGTTATGTAACTTAATTAAATAACACATAGGTTACTTAAGCCATAGCATTTCAAAGCAGGGATGCTTAGAACCAGGGACAAATAAGCTGCAAAGAAACATGTATTAGTAAAATCTAAATCATAAAAATAATTAAAAAAACAACCTTTTCTATCTAGAAAGAGAAATTTTTAAAAAAAATTCCAGAAAACCAGACTCCTTTATATAAGTTGTAGATTATAGGAGTGGGGTGGTTTGCTGATTGAAAGAGGCCTTCTTTAATCACCTTTGGTGTTAGGCATTACATAGCATCCCTCAACCTCTTCCTGATAATGTTCTCAGGTCACCTGGTCTGTAGGAAACAGGCTGGTAGGGCTCCTAGTAGGGAGTCTTTACATCTACCTGTTTTTTTCTTTTCTTTTTCCATTCTTCAAGGAAAATTTTGCCCACTTTAAAAAATATTAATAAATATTTCTAAAAATTTATGGGTTTATCCCTTGGCAGATCTTTACATTTTAGGTGGCAATACAGATTTCACTCCTTAATGCACAGAATACACCTATTCTAGTCCTGCCACTTAATAGATTATAAATAATACAAGCTCACTGCTCTCTAGTTTCACCTGTGATCAATTATGATTTCATGAACATGCAGCCCAGGTCTGGCTATATGGAGGAATTTTGGAGAGTCAGTGCTATAGTTTGAATGCTCATGCCAAAAGTTAATCCCCAATGCACTAGTGTTAAGAGGTGACTCCTAATGAAAGGTAAGGAGGTCTCTGTCCTCACAAATGAGTTATTGTTGCTACATCAAGGGCTTGCAGTGGGCTGTGGGTGTAGTTCAGTAGTAGAAAGCTTACCTATCAGGCAAAAGCATTTCGGTTTGACCACCAAAACTGCAGGATGGGGAGGAGGAAAAAGAAAAGGGCTTGAGGGAGCAGGTTCTCTGTCTTCTACTCTTCTGCCATGTGAGGATGCAATTTTCTTCTTTCCAGGAGAATGCAGCCATTCAAGGTGCCATCTTGGAAACAGAGACCAGTTCCTAACCAATGGCACTTTTAGACATCCTAGTCTTCAGAACTCTGAGAGGATAAATTCTGGTTCTTTATAAATTAACCTATCTCGGGTTTTCTGTTATAGTTGAAGAAAAAAATTAAGACAATCGTAAAGTCCTGCATTGCTCAATCTGTTATCCTACCACTGTCAACTCTTATACACCTGTCATTGGGGGACATGATGGCCATGAAGACCCAGATACCACAGGCAGATGGGAAAATACTATTCCTTGATCAATCTACATACAGCAAGATCTCAAAATAAATAAGCGTGACTTTAAAAATTTTTGATATTTATTCAGCATGAATTTTCCCTGATTTTTCATTTAGAAACATTATATTAAAATATTTATCTTGATTAACTAGGTTAAAATTTTAATTATTTATTTTAAAAATATACTTTTAGTGATCCCTTAAATTTTGGCATCAAAGTTGAACGCCTTACTCATCTTACCCTAAATCTAGTCCTTAGGTTATACAACGAGTAAGTGGTGAGCCAGGGCTTAAAGACAACTATTCCCCTCCAAAAGTCATGCTTTTAATGACTTTGATATATAAGGCCTCACAAAAGTGTAGAGCGAATTCTTTGCCTTTTCTGCTTGTAGTGAGAAGATGAATAAATTCACAAGAAACAGACAACAAAAATCATGACCCAAAGAAGGGGAATGAATACATGTTATGGTTTAGACATTAAGCATCCCCCAAAAGCTCATGTGTGAGACAACAGATAGGTTTAGAGGTGAAATGATTAAGTTATAACAGCCTTAACCCAATCTGTTCATTAATCTCCTAATGGGGATTAACCAGGTGGTGACTATAGGCAGGTAGGGTGTGGCTGGAGGAGATGGATCATTGAGGGGCATTACTTGGGAGTATATATTTATGAGCTGAGCTTAGTCTCTCTCTTGGCTTCCTGGCACCATATCCCCAGCTACTTTTCTCCTCCCCATCATTCTGCCATGATGTTCTGCCTCACCTAAAGCCCCAAAGAATGGAGCTGGCTATCTATGGATTGAGACCTCTGAAACGGTGAGACCCCAAATAAACTTTATTTCCTCTAATTGTTCTTGTCACAGTATTTTAGTCACAGCACCAAAAAAGCTGACTAAAACAACACATAACTAAATTATGTACAGGAATTTGAAAAAATAATTAGCACAACGAGGACGGGTAAGTGTCATATTGAGTCATGGAAAGCTTATGTTTCTTAAAGATCTGACAAATCCCAAAATCATTCACTGAGGCTTTTCAAATTTTGTTCTAGGATCAGAATTTTTAGTCCAGAAGTGGATGTTGGTACTATTTAATTTGGTGATGCTATCTGGTCTTGGGGCTGGCCTGAGCTGCCTGGAGCCAGCTTCCTGTTGGAGCCAGCTGTGTTGACCACAGCATATGGCAGGCGCTGGGTGCTCAGAGCTCACTCCATAACTGCTGTTAAGACTCCATTGATTGCTGCTTCTTTATCTCCAATCTCTTTCCTGTCTTCACATTTCCTCCATTTATTGCCCATCCTGTCAGTGCTGACAAAAGGCTGCCTGCAAAATTCTCCACGTCTATTTTCCAGAGCACCAGAAAGATATTTTTTAATCATCTTATTGGTTGTTAACACTTTGTAGTTTGGCTGACACACTGTATTTTGGTTGTGGCAAAGACAAACAGGGTCAGCTGCCATCAGCTAATGAGTTTTGTTTTGTTTCTAAATAGCGAGGCTTCCCATAGCATGAGAAACCATTGTCTATAATTTCATTTTGCTTTTTGTTTAATTAAAAATTAAAGAGGAACATGATGAAAAGATGCATTTGCAGTTAAAATTATAAATATATGTAAGCATCTAGGATTTAGTTATGTGCCTTTATTGCTAATATTGAACTCATTGGATTTCAAACAACCTGTCTTTATTTTCATGATTTCAAAGAAATTTCAAGATTTCAAAGAAATACACTGACTTTGGGTACACATATGCCCTCAACACCTTCCCCATGTGTACCACCAACCTGTTGGTAACAGGTCCCAGGATTTTGGGTCAGTATATGCCTATCTTTTGCCACTCAACTGTTCTTTAATTATCCAGCTCAAACATGACCTTTTCTAACAAGATTTCACAGGTTCTTCTAGGCAGAATCAAACTCTCTTCCCCCGATACAGATATGTTTTACATTTTATTAAAAGTATGTGTCATGGTAGAGAATATGTCCAATATAATTTTGTTATCCCTGAAGGATCTAACATTCAAAATAGGTTCACATATGTTTACTGGATTAAATTAAAATTTATACTGTGGGAAATCAGGATGACAGTTTGGAATGAAAATGGAATATTATAGTGTATTAAGAAACTCTGAGAATCAGCCTGAAGAATTTCCCTTGTGCCCAGTACAGAAAGTGGGAAAGATATCTACCAACTGCAACCCATCTAAACATGCATATTCTATATTTTCTTATAGATCACCCCACCATTCACATAGGTCCCCAGTTTCCACTGAAGCCTCACCCTTTTGGGTTTAATCAAGTAACTAAAGCATCCCATGATAGTTTAGTGTTAGATACACTATGATGCCTGTTTATTTCAGTGTAGTCACCATCCTGAAATTTTAGCTTTCCAAAATGCAAAGAAGTTGCTCCATTTAGCACAGACCTAGCAGGGGATCAGGTACATATAGCAAATAGGTTTTCTTAATGATGTTGAGAATTCGAATAATAACTTGTCCCATGAGGGTCATAATTGAGTTAATTAGATTTTATAAAATTCAATGTGCAAGAAGACACAACTCTTTTCTTCTAGTGACCTACATAATTTGAATTTGTAGAATTGTTCCAGGATTTAACAAAGCATGTGCGGACAGCTTCCCAGAGCAATACTGTGTTCAGAGCAGCAGATTTCTGCCCTCCTGACCTCATCTTCATCATTTCTACTTTTGACCCTTAATTCAAAGCCATATTCTTTTGTTTATAAGAACCATTAGCTTATCAATATGATCATTATTTCTAGTTTAGGAAGAGATCAAAGATCTAAAGTATGGATTAGAGGGACTATTTGTGCTCTCGGAAGACATACAACAGTTATGACACAAGAGCTGCAGGTTTTCCCTAATATAAGGACACTGGGTGTTTTCATATCAGACTTGCTAAATCCCACAATCATCCACAGTTGGGACACTGATGTCAATCAGAGGAGCAAATAGATTCTGACATTTAAAAAGGGAATGCACAGTAGGAATTTAATCAGCACATTAGCCGGCCCAATGTTTTCTTTGAAAAAAAAAAAAAAGTTTCTTTCAAAAAGCCTCTTCTAGTTGTCTATGCAGTCTTTAAAGTGACAGCGTGTTTAGGATTCACCTACTCACTATGTGACCTTCTGTGCACTTTCTCTGGCCCTCATTTATTCTAAATGTCCTGACAGGATTCAAAGATAATGTCTATATAGTCTTGTCAATGATCTAGTTTTTGATTCTGAATGACTTGCCACTGATTAACGAACCAAATAGCATGAATTCTATCCATTTAATATGAGGACAATGAATACAGCTGTAGGGAAAGAGGACTGATAGTTATGTCTTGTATATTTGTTAGGCACCTTTGCTCTGGGCACTAGATGTCAAGGATTTTTGAAGTGAGCCATGCAGCTTTCACCCTGGAGAAACTGAGTCACAGGAAAGTGACAGGCTGATAGAAGCCATTGTGTTTGCTTTAGGAAAACAGGCTACACATCCATGAGATATGTCCAGAACCCTACAGTTCAACTTACTGGCCAGCAAAAATCTCTATGGTACAATTTAAACAGACCCCATTGAGAGCAAATTTGTGATAATTAGGTGAGGAATGTTTTGCTGTACTGGTGGAAAATATTAATAATGTAAGCAAGGTACAAACAATGAATTTCCATTACTATCATGTTCGGTGTAGCAGGTGTCTATCCTCATGAGATCATCTCCACCTTTAATCTTTTCCTAACAACTGCATGGTGACATGTTTATAAAGAACAATTCACTGCTACTGATAATAAGGCATAAAGTCTGGGTAGCCTCACCTTTAGGAAATCAAATCCTGTAAAGTAGAAAACTTGGTTTTTGACAGATGACAAAGGTATTATAAATTTTAGGATTTTATGGGAAAATTATTTTAGAATATATTTTTATTGTCAGATTACTGACTATCCAAGCTATTTGGATAGGGCAAACTATTGGTAGTTAGTACTTTGAGATCTTTGTGCTGAACAAGTTCATTAATTTGGATTTAGTAGGTCTTTAGAGAAATCTTTTTATACAGAGGGCCTTGTTTCCAAGGAAGTTCACAAAAATGTAGGTAACTTGTACTGTGAATAATCAATCATGTGAATCATAGTATTTTTCAAAAACTGTGCCAGCTTCTACTGTCATGGAAACCTATGTGTTTTATAGAATTTTTAAATTATGTTTTCATTTTGATGATGATCTAAAAAATTAATGTTAAGTCAGTAAACTTTAATAAAGCTTAACATTCTGTATCATCTAAATGAATATCTCATTATATGACTCTTTTCTTTTTTTTTTTTGGTATCAGAGATTGGATCCAAGGGTGCTTAACCACTAAGCCACATCGCCAACCCTTTTTTATTTTTTGAGACAGGATCTCACTAGATTGCTTACAGCCTCACTAAGTTGCTGAGGCTGGCTTTTAACTCACCTTCCTGTTGCCTCAGCCTTCTGAGCTTCAGGGATCATAGATAGGTGTGTGCCACCTTATCCAGCATTATATGAGTCTTGATATCATGGTTTATGTCATCTTTATAAGTGTGTTATTTCCTTGTTATTTGATTAGCAGTTGCATATTGGTTAATAACTGGCTACTAACCAAGTATTGGTTGTATTAATTTGGTTAGCTTAAAGTTAGAATGGCTGATTCTTTCATATTTATTACTATCATCATGCTGATTTTGTTTACTTATTTTAAGATAAAACTATGATAATTTCCATTTGAAACTAGAATTTTAGTTTCAAAATTGCATTGTAATTTTTAAAACAAAATGTCATGGTGTTGCAGAATAATATTGCAAACTAGTGATAAAATAACAAAAGCAGACAAAATGTATAAACAGCACATTCATGGGAAGGGTCAGGACCAATTGAATTATGGATCTTTAAGGATAAATATCTGTATACAGGAATTTTTAATATTTCAAGTAGAGAAAAATAGTGGGAGAATTTAGACATCACACAGGATATAATAAGCACCCTAACAAATAACTAACCATGACTACCAATATGATAACTTGGTAAATTTTTAATTGATGATTTCAAAATAATTTTTTAAAATATCAGTTTATGTTTTAGGATATTCTAGTAAATGGCTTCATCAAAATCACAGACTGGTACTTATTTTTACTCTACACACTTTTTTTTAGTGTGAAGCAATTTATTAAATAATTTTTATTTGATACATACAATATTATTAAATTATTCAGGGAGTGGAATGAGAGAGTACAAGGTCACTAAATCATTGAGTATCTTTTCCCCAAAAAAATTATAGAAAAAAGGGGTGAAAGAGTAAAAATGAGTTAACTGTTCACTCATCTTCCAGTTTTGCCAGTCTACACACTATTTTTTTTAATTGGAAAAGTACTCATAAAAATAAAGATTTTTTGTTTTAAATTAGAAGACTTGGTAATTAGAAGACTTGTAGGACCCTGTGACATTTATAGAGCTGACCACTAACAATTTTGGACACGTGGCCTGTTTCTCTCAGGTACACATTCTACTTACATTTTATAAGCGTTAGATTTTGTGTTCCCTGATCTGAAGCAATGCTGTATGTTTTCCAGGACATGGTACTACAGGTTCTGGGGAAAGGGAATCTATATCTCTACATATGTTATTTGTAAAATAAATATTTGTGAGTAGCAGCTCCTGCTGGTTGTGGCTCCTCTCCAGGGCACCGTAACACTCTGTTCTCTCTGTAACCATGGTCTGGTATACGGTTTGAAATAGAAATTAACATTTAGAAGTAAATTTCTAAATCCGCTGCATTCATAGACCCGGCGCTCGCCTAGTTAGAGGAAGTCTTAGCGTCCTTCCCTCCCTTTGCCAGCCCTCCCCAACCGCTGGCATAATGAATGTCTTTCATCCAGTATTTCTCTATTATTACTTGCTATTCATTTTACTTCATTAATATTTAAACATCACTGTAGTTATTCACTGAAAAGGGCAACACTTACCACCAACCAGGTAAAGGTGAACTCAGGCGAAATTTCCGAGGAGTTATTTTGAAAGCATGGTATTTCCAGAGTCTGATTTATCTCTATTTCTATTGTGTGATTGCTGCTCCATTCATTCTGTGTAACTGCAACAAAACACAAGGTGGAAAACACGTGGATCTTTGGCATATAAAGTGCTTTTTACTGACGACACAAAAACAGTCTTAGCATTGAGATTCATCTACCTCTGGGTACACCTGTGCAGTGAAGAGGCAGCCACCGTGGTCTTCACTGCATAAAGTGGTAAGACTGAGGAATGAGAAGCACAGAGTTGCTTATCTGCCCCAAATTACTATGGATTCTGTTAGGGTAGTTTCACTGAGAAACTCCTAATTTGATGTGCTCTTCTGCCTTAGCCCCAAATTGGTGCATTAGTCTTCAGGTTACATTTCCTTAATTAGATAGAATATAAAAACTTTATAACCTAGCTTCAAATTCATATTGTAATTTCTTTTTGAAAATGTTAATAGACATTATTTTTAGAGCAGTTTCAGGTTCAGAGCAAACTTGAGCAGAAAGTACAGAGAGTTCCCATGTACCTTTACCTTGCTGCCACACACCTGCAGCCTCCTCCTGATCAGCAGGGTTCCACAGTGGTACATGTGTTATTAATGAATGTACAAGGATACATCGTTATCACTCAAAGTCCAGAGTTTACATTAGGGTTCACTCTTGGTGTTGTATATTCTATGGATTTTAACAAATATATAATGACATGTATCTTCCATTTTAGTATCATACAGGGTGGTTTCACTATCTTAAGAATCCTTTGTGCTCTGCCTATTCATCCTTCTCTGTTCCCTAATCCCTGGAAACTACTGATATTTGTACTATCTTTATATCCAACTATCTTTTTAGAGTCTATAAATATTCCTTCAACAATCGGATGATACAGAAAAGTATATAAGAAAACTCTGAGAGGGTTTGTCATGAATTATTTTCATTTTAGAAGGTATTATGAGACACATATTTATTCTATAGTCTCTCCTTTCAGGAAAGTTTTATACACAAGCATGTACCCTTATGATTAAGACAGAATAACATCAAAGAATAATTTACAAATGAGAATAAATTATTATCCTAATAACCTAAAAGTCTTACACTTTTATATCTATATAAGCCTTATTTGATGATTTAGCTGCCTAATATAAATTTTTAGAAGTATAATTGATAGGTAAATGAGTATGAGCATACTCAAGTTCACCAAGTGTATATTGAAAAAGTGAATATTTCTTAATTTAAGAACATTATATTATAACATTATATTATTCCATATAAAACTTCCAAGAATTATTCCATAATTCTTGGAAGTTTATCTCATTCTAGTCAGAATGGCAATTATCAAGAATACAAGTAACAACAAATGTTGGCAAGGATGTGGGAAAAATGTACATTCATACATTGCTGGTAGAACTGCTAATTGGTGCAACCATTATGAAAAGCAGTATGGAGAGTCCTCAGAAAACTTGAAATGGAATCTGCATTTGACTCAGATATCCCACTCCTTGATTTATACCCTAAGGACTTAAAATCAGCATACTATAGTGAAGCAGCCACATCAATGTTTATAGCAGCTCAATTCATAATAGCCAAGCTATGGAACCAACCTAGGTGTCCCTCAACGGATGAAATAGATAAAGAAAATGTGGTATATGTACACAATGAAATATTACTCATCCTTAAAGAAGAATGAAATCTGCTTGTAAATGGATGGTGCTGGAGAATATCATGCTAAGCAAAATAAGCCAATCCCCAAAACCCAAAGGCTGAATGTTCTGTCTGATATGCAGATACAAATTCAGAATAAGGTGGGGGGCTAGGGAAAATAGTGGTATTTTGTATTAGGCAGAGGGGAGTGAAGAGAAGGGAGGGGATGTGGGGGTAGGAAGGATAGTAGAATGAATCAGACATTGATACCTTTTGTGCATACATGATTATATGACTAGCGTGACTCTACATCATGTACAACAAGAAGAATGAGAAGTTACTCCGTTTATGTATGATGTGTCAAAAAGGAATTCTAATTAGTATAACTACTTAGAACAAATAAAAAAATCTATGTCCTAAAAAAGAATATTATATCTAGCCTTTAGATCTTTGCTATATTTCAATCTTTCACCAAGCCAGCTATTCTCTTTACCAATATTTCTTTACTCTGTTTGTTAATTGAAACTAGGTCTTTGTGATAATTATGCATATCTTCCCTACAGTATTCTAAAACAGTTTTTTTTAATTCCTGAAGTTTAAGAGATAGAATCAGTACTCTATTCTCCATAGCTAATTCTAAATGTAATAATTCCTTGACATCTAATGGGGATTGGATTCAGTTTTGGAGTTCCCAGGGGACACCAAAACTTATGGATGCTCAAGTCCCTTATATAAAATGTGTGGGTTTTTTTTGCAAATAATCTATGTGCATCCTACCATACACTTTAAATCATCTCTAGATTACTTACAGTACCTAATACAACATAAATAATGTGTAAATAGTTGGTATAGGATACTTTTAGAGAATAATGACAAGAGGAAAGATATCTATACATAATATGGATGCAATTTTTTTTCTGAATACTTTTTGACCAGTGGTTGGTTTAAAATAAAGATGCAAAACCCATGGACTCTAATTCCATAATTTTTAAAAAAGACCCCTCTCCCTTATTGTTCAAAGAATTTATATATATTAGTATTTCCAGATGAAATTATTTGTATATGACATCACTATTTTTGACATATTTCATACCACCATTATTACTGTTAAATTTTATCCTTGAAATTATTGTAATTGTTTTGCCTAAACTTATTTTAAACAGGTACCAATATAGACACTGTGAAGTCCATGAGACATACTCAATATGTTAATTATTTTTAATTTAAATTTTTCAAATAACTAAGTATTAAATTTTTGAACTTTGGATTCTGAAAATTGGACAATACACACAGCATAACCTTTTATATATAATTGAAAACCCCCCTAAAAACAGAAAAAGTAAACTTAAGTCACACAGAAAATATCTACAAGAAACTAAATAACAACATATCCCCCTTTAATGGGTGGGGACAAAGCACTAGACCAGAATGGTACTAGCAACTTTGCAGAAAGAAACAGGAAAATCAACTATGCCTCTGAAGGACTTTGGAACTAGATAACCATGCCCCCAATCTCCAAGTAACAGATAATCCCTGGAAAGAGAATCAGACTAATGTGAAAATCATAGTAGAAAAGGAGAAGGGAATTTGGAGGCTCCCCATCATCAGTGTCTTCAAGGGAAACAGGAAAAGGGTTCCCAGTGCTGGAGCAAATGAGGCTTCTCAGGATGCAACTTGTGCTGACAAGACATCCTTAGGAGTTGAATCAAACTTAAATCCATCAGGGCTGGGGTTGTGGGCTTAGAGGAAGAGCACTTGCCTAGCATGTGTGAGGCACTGAGTTCAATCCTCAGCACCACATAAAAGTAAAATAAAGATATTGTGTTCACCTACAACTAAAAAATAAAGTTTAACAAAAATTAAATGGATCAGATCCAATAGAAGAGATCAAAGGGGCCATTTAGATTAAAGTGTGAGGGGTATAAGCAAAGGAAGTACAGTCAGAAAGTCCAGTGGCATAGTATTTGTCTTGAAAATATCAGAAAAGGAGGCTCTAAACACACAGAAGATCCTAGAAAAGCTAGCTTGGCCTACATTTCCATGATAATAGTGAAAATGCACTTAACTTAAACATGAACAATAGAAAGGAATGAAGTAGAATCATCTATAAAGCTACTGTAAGATACCAGAAGCAGTGATAATCCTAACTGTAATCCCAGTTACTTGGGAGGCTGAGCCAGGAGGATTGCAAATTTGTAGATGGCCTGGTAATTTAGGTAGACCTTATCCCAAAATAAAAAGGGCAGGTAAAGTAGCTCAGTGGTAGAGTGCCACAATCAATCCATCAATAGATCTCCTATAAGAAATAAAAAAAAAAAAGGTAGAGAACAAAATAACATTCAGAAAACAATGAGAACATATTAGCAGACAAGATCACAAAATAAAGTTATAGCCTTGTCATTCAAAATGAACTAAAATTTAAAAACTGATATGTGCTATGCAAAATCTTTGGAAAGGTCAATCAGTGAGTCCACTGGAAAAAGAATATTTGCAACAGATGGCCGTGTTAGTCAGCTTTCCATTGCTGTGACAAAATAACTGAGAAAAACAACATAGAGGAGGGAAGAGTTATTTTGGATCACTGTTTCAGTTCATAGTCCCTTCACCCCATCTTTGTCGACTTGTGGGGAGGCAGAACTTCATGGCAGGGAAGGTGTGGTGGAGCAAAGTCACTCATCTCATAGAAGCCAGGACCAGAGAAAATAAGCAAGGAAGAGGCCAGGGACTAGATATATCCTTCCATGGTACACCTTCAGTGATCTACTTCTTCCAACTAGGCCCACCTCCTCTAGATTCCACTACCTCCTAATAGTCCATTGAGTTATGAAACTATCAACAGATTAACCCTTTGATGAGATCTGAGCTCTCATTACCCATTACTTTCCTAAAGTCCCATCTCGGAGCATTGCACTGGGGAACCAATCCTTCAAAACAAGTGTCTTTGTCGGACATTCCAGACCTAAACCACAATAATAGATGAAACAACTCAGAAAATGATTGGAAATAGTAATTTTTAAAAATCACTCCAGAAAGGAAGATAAAAGTAGAGAAAAATAAAAACCATAAACACAAAAGTTAATGCACTAGTATAAATGAAAAGCTAGAATAAGGGAAATGTCTAAATTAATTAATGATAACTAATTTTTAAAGAAATGAAAAAGATTTGAAGAAAATTTTATGCAAAGATAAATCATATGTATATAGAAGGCACTGAAGGAAAAAATTAAAGCACAGAACAACAAATGATTTCAAAAAATTTTAAATAAGAAATGCCTAAAAAATACATATTAAAAGATTTTATCTCAAAAGTAAGAAACAGAATAAAAAACATTAACCATATTCTTTTGAAAGAATTGAATGACGTCAACTATGGGGAAAAAATTGGATAGTTGTTAGTTTTTGACTAACAATTCTATGTCAGAAAATAATAAAGTAACAT